AAAGACAACTGTTTTTTCGATAAGCTCTGTCACGTCGTTTTCCCTACATATATAATAGCAGAGAGATAGCTGGAGAGTCATTAATGGGCCCAAGATAAGGCAAGGACCTCAGCCGTCCCCACCCTTCTAGTGCGCAGCGGGGCAAACACCGGTTTACACTGACATGCAGGGATTCCCGGCAGATTCTTTGTTCCTTTGCTCCGAGTGATACAGCGCCCTACTGAAAGACACGCGAACGACAGGGGGTAAGACAGACGCACAGCTCCAAGATCCTGGATTGGTAGATGGCCTGGGCCAAAAATCCTAATAAACTGCCTTTCCCGATTCAAGGACCTGGATGTCAAAGGTTTCTCCCCTCCTGCGCTGGGATCTCCACTGTAATACAGCCCCCAACACCGACCATTTTTGTTCTTGGAAGGGCAGGGCAAAGTGCAAGGGTGTGGAGAAAGCACGCCTGTCCTTTTTCGGACTCCACCATCCCCAACCCGCACCGCAGGGATCCCCGAGGCAGCGCCCATACACATAGACCTGCTGGGATCTAGTCAGTTACCTCCTCCTCCTTCCCTAGCCACAGGCCCGCCCGCCGTTGGGAGAATAGGCAGATGGCAACCGACCAAATGAAGACCAAGATTAGAAGGACGTCTGCACACGTCGGCTTCTGCTCACGTGAGGGCCACGTCACCCGTGAGCTCAAGACCCCAATTACCACTCCCACCGGCAGTGGGGCTGGAGCTGTCCCACCCCTTTCCTTCCCTGGCCACATCAGGTCCTGCCACTCATTTTCCTCTGCCAATCCCAGAAACCGCGGATAGCTTCTCCTTGTGGTTGGAATTTGCCTTTCTTTACTTTACAGGGAGATACTGCATCTGCTCTCATGTTCATGGATCTTTTCTTCCTCTTTGAGGAATAATTTTTCCCTTATCCCTGTCCAGCCATCTCTCCCTTCACCCACCCCAGCCATGAGGGTCAAACATTTCTCCTGCACCCCTATACAAAATGGGGAAAAGATCTCAGAAAAGGATATAGGTAGTGGGAATGTCTTACTTCCTTAAACTTTTCTGCTAATTTTTAAAAAAAATCAGTAATGCATTACTTTTATATTGAAAAATAAAATGATGCTATTTTCATTTGAGTGGAGAAGAACTGAAGTGGGAGAGAAAAACCCAAAGGTCTCATTAATTTCATTATATTTAGTATTTATAACACAAGGAAACTTTCTGTCGATTATAGCCAAACAGGAACTTTCAAAATACACTAACCTGTTTTAAAATCTATAACTGGAATTTTCACATGATTTATTAATTAGTTCACAAAGAGGGGACTAGTCCTCTAATTTTGGCCATTTTATGCAAATAATCTATTACTTTTTCTACTTTGGATCAACTTGCAAATTGATAAAACAAAAGTAGCACAATCCTGTCTTGTCTGATTTTAAAAAGACATGTATTTAATGTCCCAAAGTCTTGGTTGAGTGCTGGGTGAACCTCTTGTGATCTGATGGCTGTTCTGAACACCTGCCCCTGCATTAGATTCAAGTCTACTAAGGTGGAGTCAGGTGAGGGTATGAGGGATGCAGAAATGGCCCCTTCCTCCTTGTCTTCTCAAGAGGTGAGAGACAAACATGCTGTTCCCTGATCCCCTCCCATATTCCAGAGCCTCTCATCCCCTGCAGCAGGCATCTGACTTTGTTGCTCAGTCTAAAGATATACATGGACAGGTGACTAAGGAGGTAAATGCCACCTTTACTCAGGTGACCAACCTGACCTGAGTAAATGCCTTTGCCTTCTTCCCTCTCTCTCACCCTTAAATTCCCACAGAGGTAACTGAAGGATACATAGAAGGGATTGTTGGTCATGCCTACCCTTACAGCTGTGGGTTTCCATGAAACCTGGACAAGTCATTGCTGGGGGAAGCACCCAACTTTGCCTGCTCTGCCCTCATTCACAGTGCCTGAGTTAACATTGCTCCTAACAGTGCTCCTGCCACCTGTCCTGAGAGGTGCAGCCTGCTGGGCCTCTCACCTTTGGCCTCCTCACTGCAGGGTCCTCAGGGAGAACCTAGCCTTGATGCAGGGTCATGGCCTATAGTCCATGCCAGTTGGTACCCCCTGAGCTAAATGTTTGCCTGGACCCAATGAACTCTCTTCCTCACCATACTGATAAACCTAGAGTAAGCATTCTCAACTGGCCACTTCTGTGATAATTTTATCAAAATTATGCAAGTACATATGTTCATTTTAGTGGGAAGAAGGGTCATAGGTCTCATCAGATTCTCACAGATATCTGTGACTTAAAAAATAATTAAGAACTTCTTTACTGGGGGAGAAAAAAGATATGTTCCCTCAATAGAAATCTCTCAAATCAATCTCTCCCTCCTTCCCCAAACCCCTCCCTCCACACACATACTTTT